TTCTCTCGGTCGCGAATAACCTTGATTCCGAGAACATGTCCTACTTCACCCAAATCTTTCGTATCAAACTGCTTGGATAACCATACCTTTACGTCTGACAACATTTTCACACTGTTTCCAATGAGAAGAATATCATCCACGTACAGCACTAGAAACACCACCACGCGAGACTCCGGGGGTTGTGGCTGTTCTGGTTGCGGCTGCTGGTGTTGAGGTACCGAGCTATCCTCAACATCCCTTTCCGGCTAGTGATGTTAGGCGACGAGGGCCCTGGTCTCCTCAACTTCGTCTAGTGGGTTAGACGGGTTTGGGTCGGGGTTGGTGTGAGGGTATTTTGTCTTCCTCTCGGTTAAAGATGGGTCGATTCGGGAATTGGTTCGGGGCTCGGCGTTGGCTACTGTATAGGCTTTAGACAGTTTCAGTAGTGCTTCTTCGGGCTTAGTATCTTTTGTGTGTCGATTATTCTCTGTTGGTCGGGTCTGTCCGATTGCTGGGGAAGGGCTTATTGTCGATTGTTTTTTAGGTTTATTTGTTCATGTGTCTGTTGTGTTGTCAGGTAGGATTGTTTTTTAGGTTTGGGCCGTTGGCCTCGGTGTTGATTACCCCGTGGGGGTCGTTTCTATTCTCATGTGGGCAGCGTTTGTAGTTTGTAGGTTGTGTTTTATGTTTGTGTTTTGTGTGGTGCCGATTGTATTCTAGCTTGGCTAGTGTCGATTTCTAGGCGATCTCCAAATCCGTCCTCTTTGTTTTTCAGTTGTTGCCTGCGTTGTTCAGCTAGGGGTTGTACCTTTGCACATTTGTGCCTTTTATTTATAGTTATCTTTGTCGTTCCGAAAAAAAAAATTAAACAAAAGCAACAAATAACAAAAAAAAAAAATTACCCTAATTTGTAATATACATCACACAATCATAACATCATGCTATAATCATACAATTAATTTTATATACATGTGGGTGGAGAAATCATGTCATTACATATCTTTAATTTATTTTTTTTGTTCTAATGTCTTAAATAATTAAAAAACGTGTGAATTAATTCTTCATAATCTAATTTACTTTATTTCTAAAGCTAAAATATAATTCCTATTTGTTTTTAAATTTTTTTGCAAAAACATAACTCTTAAAAATTCAAAATCTACTATCAAACATCTATGAATGTTGTATTCAAAATCTGCTATCAAACACATAATCTCGGTGTCCTATTCTATGACGATCAACAAGAGTCAAGACCAGTCTCTCTCACACGTCGGTTTAGTCTTGAAGAAACCTGTTTTCAGTCATCAACAGTTGTACGTGGCTCTTTATAAAGTCACAAATCGGAAGAGTTTGAAGATAATGATATGTGGTGATTGTGATTCCGACGATAGAAAAACCTTGAATGTTGTATACAAAAAAGTGTTTAATAATATTTAGAATTATTTTCTTAATTCATATTTTTTTAATTAAATCATGATTTTGTAGTTTTTTTATATGCGTAACTCTTCTAATTATTCTCCTCCGTGCAAATGCACGGGTTAATTACTAGTTATATCAAATGTGGATATCACATTAGTTATGATTTTTTCTATTTTACCTTGCAGTTTCTGTAAGCCCCTCTACTTGTACATTGAAATCATCAGAGTTTTTTGAAATGAATCAAACTTTTCGATAACAATTTAACTTTTCAAAACATGGCTTGAGGGTACTTACTAAACATGTAACTGACTTTACTATCATGTCTGCTTTTAATCATCTCAGGATATCTGATCCCGACATAAATCATGTTCAATTCATCAAGACCTAGCAGGGCGATCGATACTAGTCTAATAAATGAATTGAAAAACTGAAACTGAAATCCAAACAATGTTCAACATAGCTAATAATAACATGTTCGGAAAATAAACTGTTCAATAGCGAAAGCAATAAATAAACTGCATATGACCACCACGAGCCCCTCTTGAGTCCCGCCCGGCATGCTAACCTGAAAATGATAATTGTGGGGGCTGAGCAATAATCAACGTGCTCATCAATATTCCATACTACGCAATTATTCATAATAAAAACAGATATAGATGACATTGGCATATATATAAATGTACTGTAATACTCATGCTGCAGACTCCGGACACTGGCCGGTATTCATGTGCACATTCTGGGGGTCGCCTCCCACAGAACCGGGACGGGTACGGTCACCACCATCCAAGCGAATAGACTAGAACGGGTACGCTCACCACCATTCAGTCATAAATATCTAGGACGGGTACGCTCACCACCATCCAACTTACATTATCAATATAAACATACCTCAACCATAAATACCTTGCGTTTATTAAGAATTAGAACATAGCATGGAAAATCCCCACTTTTTTAAACTTACTGACTGGATGAAAAATGCACGTGCGTCTGAATGAGGGCTCGACTCCTCGTTTAATATACAGTTATAGATTTTATTTATTATTTAAAGTGATAGCAGATAGAACATATAAGACAGGCAAGGCAGATAAAATCATGTAATCAAATAATTCACATAAGACAAATACGACAAGCAAAATCCAATGCTAACTGACAGAAATGATCTAAATGTCCATATATTGTGCTATATCACCCTTATGTGAAGGGACTATGAACTGGTTAAAGGATTCTCAATTGCCTCGACTAAATAAGGCGAACCGAACCCTTACACTACATGATTAAAAATCATACATAAGTCATAAAATTCTGAAACTTAACAAAAAAAAAAATTAGTCAAATCATACATGAAACTCCTGTGAAAATTTCAAGTCGAAAAGCCAACTGTAGGCGAATCATTCAATTAGCTATATATAGCACTTAAACATGAAATCGACACTTGCTGGTTCAAGAATTTCTATAAAATTCTATACTTTAACATTTTCAGCTGAAAAATGACCAGCATGATCACATCTGATACATCAATGCCTCATAAAAATTTCAGGTCAAAATGATAACCGAGGACTGAGATATAGTAAGATAAAATTTCAGCTGGACTATGAGCTTTCGAATTCGAACTGCACCACAAACTTCAAAAATTCATTTCTCAGGCTACAGTTGACTAAATGACCTCAAACTTGAATGAAAATACTC